TTTTCCAGAACTGCTATTGTGCAAGTTTACCGAATTTATGTAGTTCTATGTCCTTTGCAGATGCAAGATTTTTCTTCTCAGTCACTTTGCATGCCAGGAACCCCAGTTAGCAACACCCCACCCGGGCCTCTCCCTGCCATGCTGACTTGCACCAGCTGGCCTATGTCATAGCTTGTACCCACATTTGGTGATTCTCAAGCTCTTGTACTGCACCCAAGAAGAATGAGGATACGCTGGACATTGAAGGGTGAGGAGGGCAGAGAATAGTTTTATTGAGCAACAGAAAAGCTCTCAGTGGAAAGGGAAAGCAGTGGGTGATTACCGTACCTAAGGTGGGAAAGTCCCCCATGTGGCTGGGTTGCAGACTTTAAACCTTCTGCTTGAAGGTGGGCTTTCACCAGCTACCCATTCCTAACTGCCTAGGCATTTGGCTGTCTCCTGTCTCTATCAGCACTATAGACAGAAAATATAAGTATCTTCAGCAGCCACCAAGCACCTTCAATTAGTTAGGTAAGCATGTTGTAAAAGAACAGAAAATGAAGACTGTAGTGAACCAGACACTACCTGCCCTTACTCAGCTCCAGCTGATTGTTGCCATATGGGAATCAGGCCCAGTATTTCCAGATCTTCTCATTTCTCCAGCAAAACTAGTTTCATCTGTGAAATCTCTTGATTGTTATATTTTGGAAACTCATTCAATTTTTTATTCTGTAACAGGTTTAAAAAAGAAAAAAAAACAAACAAAAATACCCCACTATCTATGCCTGTAGGTCAGAGTAGGCCAGCAGATCACCAATATACAGTTTCTACTAAATGCTAATGTTAATACAAGAAAAATCTTTGACTTCTTAGTTTACAAGTTCCAGAACAGTGGAATCAAGACTAAGTTCTAAGGGATTAGCATCAGGTAAAAGTAGAAGGCTACAGCACAGTTATCATAGGTAGGATGAAGACCAAAGTCCTAAGTAAAGTATTTGCCTTAATTTACATCCCTGACGCCTATGATCCAGCCATATGCAATCACTTGTTCTTGAGTCAACCATACAATCTGTCACTTCCAGAACTTTGAACATGCAGGTCCTGGTGCCTAGAAAACCTCCACAGCTTCCTTTGCTTTTATCAATCACCTTATCTTCATGCTCCAGATCTCAGGTTAAGTTTCATCTGTTCCAGCTAACTAAGAGCAACTCTATACCCTATCTGATGGTTTTGCAGTGCTAAGTTCTGTGGTTTATCACTCACACAGTACGATTCTTGCATGTTTTCTTGTATTTCTTCCTGATGAGTCCAGAAGCAACTTTAAGGCAAAATCCCTGTTTTATTAGCATTTGTAGAATCAACTTCTAAAACATTGTATGGTACAGTTAGTGAACAATATTTCTTAAATAAATATATGCAAAATAATAATGTAATAAAGATATATTTTATAACCTTTCAGATAAATCAATTTGAAAGATAAAAATATTATTTCAAGAAGAGAATGAATGGAATTTGTATTCTCAGGTTACAGAACTTTCTGATAATATTTCTTATATTTATTTTAAGATTATAAGCAAAAGGCAGGTCCTTTCCATTTCTTCCTGACTTAAAAGTAGGTACAATGATTGGATTAATAGCAGCCATGTTGCGAGAAGGGCAGCACATCTGCCGGGGGCTCTTGGCCAGCAAGAGGGTCCCAACCTGGATAGGGGGGTGCGTGGAAGATAAAAGATGACAGACAGATGGGGTCTGGAGGGTTGAGAAGCTATGCTTCACCAACAGCTTTATTGCACTTAGGTTCTGGTTATATACGTTACAAGTAGAGTTGCTTACATAAAACACGAAAGCTATTTCCATGAGATAAAGAGGAACACAAAGTTTTACCATAAAATCACAAGTCTCCTTACATCAGATAAGTATAATGGAATACTTAAGTCACAAGGTAAGTAAGTTACGCCCAGTTGTAAATACTTAACAATTGTAAATACTTAAGTCACAAGGTAAGTAAGTTATGCCCAGTTGTAAATACTTAACAATTGTAAATACTGAAGTTATTATTTTACAACTATTGTAGCAAGGATCCAAAAATGAACACAATGAAGCAATAAACCATAAGGAACCGAAAGTGGACACAATGCCTCCCATGTCCTCATATCCATAAAGTAATGTCTATTAATTATTTTGAATAGCATAGTCCCTCTCTCGGTTCCTGCTTTCCCTTAGCTCTATTTCCCCCAACCAGGTATCTGTGTCCGGGCTCAAGCTCACCGTATGGCGAGGCCCATTTCCTAGGGGGCCGCACAAGGGAGCATTCCCCACCATTCCCCCTTTTTTTGTTTTTAAGTGCAACTCAAAAAGCTTGAGCCGCAATTGTTGAAGGGAGGAGAACACAAGGTGAAAGAGTACCAGGAGAAGGACTATAAGAAGGAGTAAAGCCACTCCAATACCAATTAAAGAGGAAAAAGACGGGAGATGAACTCCACGTACCCAGGAAGACAAGGTGTCCACAATATCCTTAGCCACATATGTATCTTGAGGCAAATCCTTGCGAGAAAAGTCAATAGCATGAATTTCTTGCTGTAATTTCATAACAACCAAGGATAGATTATTATGAGACCATATACCTTGCATATGGGCCTTAACAAGAGGCCACTGCCAGGCAGTGTCATTATAAGGAGCATTGGTCACACATATGTATTTATAGTCTACATGGCAACGAAGAGCCATGAGATTTTGCATGTTATAAATCTTATCCCCTAAAATGTTAACAGTCTCCTCTAAGACATTTAATTTAGCTTCAATTTTTTTATCAATATCCATTTGAGTTCCCATAGAAACCGAGATGTTTTTGGCGAGATGATTAACATAAGCCACAGTTTGAACACTGTGTGCAAGACTAACAGCAGCTGTAGCTGCCGTCACAACAACAGTCACAATGGCCAGAATGCTGGCAATTAAAACTCCTATGAAACGTTTAGGTTGGACCATCAGATCCCTGACTTGGTGTAAAATTTGAAGTCCCCTCTCATCATACCAGTCACCAGAAATATTAACAGGGAGCATCACATATGGTGGTTGATGGACAACAAGAATAATGGGAGTAGGAAACATAGAGGAATCAAGACAATTGGTAAGAGTACAATTTTCACAAGAGATAATATAATGCCCCCCTTTTACCAAAATAGTCACATTACCAAAGATAATAGTGTATGGAGATGTGACACAGCTTGCACAAAGATATGTTGTTTAGAAGGGTGAGAGGAGCTTCTAGAACTGGCCCTTACAAAACTGGGAGGCAGTGTAACAAAAAGTTTCCAAAGAGAAGTATATACTTTGCCCTTAGCAGTAGTAAAAATAGGGGTGCTCCACCCCCCAGGCATTTCATAGCGTGTAATATCAGTTGCCAAAGGGAGAGGGATAGATCAGTCATATAAAGTAAACCCAGTTGGCAGGGAATAACAGAGCGCTTGCTTTTGCTTGGGATAACAAAATTTCCAAGGTGGTGATGGCTCAAGAGAGGAATTACTAGGTCGACACCGTCGTCTTTCCATTAAGGGAAAGTCTGGGGAGGATATGTTCATTTATTCTCTAATTCCTAAATAAAACAAGCTCCAAGCCCAACCAAAATAAGTTTCACCAGGAAGCAATTCACTAGGTCCAGCAAAAGTATGCAAACGCTTCATGCCAAGGTCAAAGCAGAAAGGACCAGGTGAAAATGATAAGGACGGTGATTGCATAGACATAACATTATTATAAGAATAATCATCCCATATCTTGGAGGCATAAAAACACATGGGAGGTGCCGCAGCTTGTGCGGAATAAGTATAATTAGCTATTTGTGGAGTAATATGAGTAAAAGAGGGAAACCCAAGTACAGAAGTATCATTAATATAAATCGGGAAGGTTGGGTTATCCCAGGTCGCAGGCCTAAGCACTGGAGGATCAGGGACATATGCCCACAACTTCTGAGAAGAAGTCAGGTATGAATGACCTCCAGGAATTTGACAAGACAAAATAGCCATCATAGCAATAAACATAACTGTAGGCGTACAAGGAGTGTTCTGAACGTCCACTAAACGAGCGGCTTCTGCACTAAGCTTCTTCATCTGGCTCCAAGTTGGCAGCGGACTCCGATGGAAGGAGATTGTTGTCCATTTGTTCCTCTGGTGGCGATGTGGTGGGGAGTTCGTCACAGGCAGACGGCGAAAGCAAGGAATCAGGGCGTTTGGCCCGCTCATTGGTGGAAAATTCATGCTTCACCAGGCATTCAGGAACCCACACCAGGGCATCAGCCGATCTAGGAAAAACACAGACATGTCCTCGTCCCCATAAGAGGACTGGATCAGGTCCATTCCAAGTATTAGTTAACACATCTTTCCACAGCACCTCCAGGTGGATGGAGGCTTTTGGGTGCCAAAAGCAGTTGGCAGCTGAGCGTCCTTCAGAATCAAAAGTTAAAAAATTGAGGACATATAAAGCATGTTGAAGCCAATTATGGGGTGTTTTATGTAAGTCCCCACCAGAGTCTCCCTTTTTCAACTTATGGAGCATAAGTTTTAGTGTAGCATGGGCACGTTCAACAATACCTTGGCCCTGTGGATTATAGGGAATACCTGTACGATGTTGAATCTGAAATTGAGAACAAAAGGTTGAAAAACTCTTACTAACATTGGCTGGGCCATTATCTGTTTTGAGGATTTTAGGAGCACCTAAAATGGAGAAAACATTAAGACAGTTAGCAACTACATCCTTTGTGGCCTCGCCGGTATGAGCAGAAGCTACAAGAAAATGGGAAAAGGTGTCAACGGTGACATGAATATATTGGAGCTTCCCAAAAGGAGGGAAGTGTGTAACATCCATTTGATAAATATGTCCACTCCGTAAACCACGAGGGTTAACCCCAAACGAACTGGGGGAAAGCAAATGAGGAAGGCAAGCAGTGCATTGTTTCACAATTTGGCGAGCCTGTTCTCTAGTAATTTTAAATTGTAAATGAAGACTGCAGGCATTCTGATGATGTAAGCATGGGACGCCTCAGCCTGTTGAAGGGAATTTAAAACAGGAAAAGCTAACTGAGTCAGTTGGTCAGCATGATGATTTCCTTCAGCAAGAGGTCCAGGTAACATAGAATGAGCTCTATTATGTTCAATAAAAAAGGGGTGCAATCTTTGCCTGATAGTTTGCTGTAAGGGACACAGAAGGTGGATGATCGGAGAGGAATCAGAATATGTTAATGGAGAGGTTTCTAAATCTTGAACCAGACGGACAACATACTGGCTGTCAGAATAGATGTTTAAAGGAACATCCCAATTAGAGAGAACATGTTGAACAGCTACAAGTTCCACACGCTGGGCCGAAGATTCTGTTGTTTTAAAAGAAAACAGTTTAGCATCAACAGTGCCTGCAGCTATACCGGAGGAAGAGCCCTCAGTGAAAGCTAAATAGGCATGTAACAAAGGAGCTCTTACACAAGTCTGAGGAAAACAAGAGAGCATTGGGAATAAAAATGAAGAACTTTATCAGGTGGGAAATGACATTTAACATTACCAGAGTAACCAGCGAAAGCAACTTGCCAGTTATGTGAAAATTGCCAAAGCCAGGTTTGTTGAGGGGTATTGTAAGGGATAATAATTTCAGGTGGTTCAGTTCCAAATAAAGCCAGGACCCAAATATGACCCTTGGCCACCAAAGTGGCAGCTAAGTCATAATATGGAGAAATTACTGTACCGCGGCTTGCAGGGAGATGAAGCCACTCTAATATACCTTGTTGCCAGAAAACACCTGTGGGAGTGTAAGAGGTATAGAGAATACAAAGACACCAAGGAATATTAAGTTGAATTCTAGTTAATTTTTTTATCTAAAAGGGCTTGATGTACTAGTTGCAATGCCTGCTTTGCAGAGTCAGTCAATTTTCTGGGAAATGATGGATTAGGAGAACCTTTTAAAAGATCAAATAAAGGCTTTAATTGTCCAGTAGTAGGTTTTAAACTGGGTCTAATCCAATTAATATCACGGAGAAATTTTTGAAAATCATTAAGGAGGTTAACTTTGCAGTAGACAATTTAGGAGTTACAAATGAAATTCATTGAGACTCAATAATACAGCCCAAATAATGATAAGGAGCAACAGTTTGAACTTTATCTGGGGCTATAATCAGGTTAGCTTGCTCCAAACGGTGCTTAAGGGAATCAAAAGCAGCAAACAACAAAAAAGTCAGTAGAAGCAGCTAACAGTAAATCATCCATATAATGTAAAAGCAGAACATTAGGAAATTGATGCCGAACAGGAAAAATTGCCTTAGCAACAAAAGCTTGACATAAGATGGGACTATTGGCCATTCCATGGGGCAGGACCGCCCGTTCATACCTGTCATAAGGCTGGCCAAAATTGGTAGATGGAATGCTAAAAGCAAAACGTTTACAATCTTGTGGCACCAAGGGAATGGTAAAGAAACAATCCTTTAAGTCAATAATTAACATTTTCCAATTTTGTGGAACAGCCACAGGGGAAGGCAGTCCAGGTTGTAATGAACCCATAATTTCCATGGTTTCATTTACTTTTCTCAAATCTTGTAACAATCTCCACTTACCAGATTTCTTTTTTATAACAAACATAGGAGAATTCCAGGGGCTGTGGGTAGATCTGATATGGCCCACTTCAAGTTGTTCCCAAACCAACTCTCGGGCAGCTACAATTTTATCACCAGATAATTCTACCCATACCAGAGAATCAGACTTCCAAGAGCATCGGGATTTGCAATGGCCCCTAGGCAAAATACCTCAGCCCGGAGCGAACAGTTTTTCACGGAAGTTGCAAAGGCTCTGTTATACCTTGCAAATGTTTGCCCAAGCCCTTATTGGGCTGACATCCTTGTTTAGTCATGATACGATAAGCTACATCTCCAGTTACCAAATGCACCCCCATAGCTTCCAGGATAACCCTTCCCCACAAATTAAGAGGGATTCCTGAAATAATATAAGGGTGAAAATAGCCTTCATGACCTTCATTATCTGACCAAAATAAAAGATTGGCAGCTTGTTCAGGATTATTACTCATACCAATGCCTTGGAGGGAGGTCATAGTCGGAGTTGTCGGCCAAGCAGAAGGCCAATGTTTTGCAGAAATAATAGACACATCAGCACCTGTATTCAATAACCCACGAAATACTTTTCCACTAATATTAAGGGTTAATTCAGGTCTTGGAGCAGAAATAGATTGCACCTAATAAGCGTGAGAAGAAGAACCAAATGATTTATGTTTTCTCGGGGACTGAGTTAAAGGAATACCTACATGAGTAGTAACAGGAATAAGCAAAAGCTGAGCAAAAGGCTGATCAGGGGTTAAGGTGTAAATACCTTGTGGAGCCCAAGTCACAACTCGAATTTCTCCAGTGTAGTCAGCATCAATAACTCCTGGAACAACTTGCAAGTCTTTTAAGGACCAGCTGCTTCTTCCCAAAAGTAACCCTACATGATCTGCTGGCAGTGGTCCAAAAACATCAGTAGGAATGGCTTGCGGGCCCATATCCGGAGTTAATACTTGTCTGGAGGAGGGACAGAGGTCAAGTCCTGCATTGTGTGGGGTTGCTCTGTAAAGTTGTAAAATGGATTTGTTCCCACTGGGGGAGAGACTGCCCGAATCACAGGTGCCCTGAATTTCTGGGGCGGGTCGAGACAGCTCCCCCTGGGAGTTTCCCGATTTGGGAAGCAAAGGATTTCCTTGAGCATCACACTTAGAGCAACATTCAGCAGCCCAGTGATTACCTCGATGACAACGAGGACATTCCCCAGGCTGCTGTGACTCAATGTTAGGCAGGCTGGCTTGAGGAACAGGCAAGGCAGGTATCACAGCTTGGCAAAATTTTGCCACATGGCCAAGGCCCCACAGTGATAACACCTCACAGCTGACTTGTCCCCTTTATTGCCAAATTTTTGTTTTATAAAAGCGGCTACTGTCATGCCGGCCTGTGCGGCAGCCATGGCAAGCCCTTGTTGATATACAGGGCCTATATCAGCACAAAGGCAAATGTAGTCAACCAAGGTGCCCTTCTTACGCCAGGGCCTAATAACAGCCTGACAAGCAGAATTAGCATTTTTGTAAGCTAATTGTTTAATCAGCAATGTTCCAGCCTCAGCATCCTGTACTTGTCTACCGACTGCTTGAAGCATCCGAGCTACAAAATCTTGATAAGGTTCATCAGGACCTTGTCTTATTTTTGCCAATTCCTCCGTTTTAACTCCTGTAGAAGGCAATTGTTTCCAGGCTCTCGTAGTGAGCATATTAATCTGGGCATATGCTTCTGATGGCAAGGTAGCCTGAGCTGCCAAAGGCTCATAATGCCCTTTTCCTACAAGCATATCAGCAGTAATAGGTACATTGTCACGGCAATTTCTTTCAGCCTGCTCATAGGCAGCATCCTCATAATTAGCTATCCAAAGTAAATAATCACCACCAGATAAACATGCTTTAGTCAAACGTCCCCAATCACAAGCGAGGAGAGCAGAGATAGTCAAATTTTCTATAAGAGAAATAGTACATGGAGCGGTAGGTCCATATTGTGCAACTGCCTCTTTTATTTCCTTTAGTGTCTTAGGAGGAATAGGATCATAATTTCTAACTGGATTGCCTTGATTATCCACCTCCTCAATAACAGGATAAAGAGCAGGAAATATATTGTTATACTCAGTAAAACCTCTATGTAAAGACATTAAGGCATGAGTCAACGGTGTTATCGGAGCGGCAGTGGTAGACGGTTAGGCCATCGGCAAAGCACCAGAAGGTGTGGCTGCTTGCTGAACTACAGGATATAACTGCTGCTGGTTAGTAAGTGCTCGCGAGCAAAGTGAAAGCAAATCCTGAAACTAATGAGCAAGATCTGGAGGCAAAGTAAAAGTTACTGGCCCAGGGTCCCACTGAGGTGCAGTCCTCAGAGTAGATACCATAGGATCCGGTTGAGTCACAATAACTTCAGTCAATGGAGCATCAAGCAAATTAGGATCATACTCATTATGATGACTGCAAGACCCTCGTTCAACAAGTGATCCAGAGAGACAGGGAGAAGGTCAGCACCTGCAACGCTTGGTGGCATTGGGAAATGAGGATCTGTCTGTTTGTTTAGTGAAGTGGGGGAAGAATAGGGTGGCACGGAAGGGTGAGAAGGGCAAACACATTTGCCGAGCTTACCCCAAACAGTTAACAATACAGAAGATTGTGGCACATCCTTATTACAAAAGAAAAAGTAGTCAATTTTTTTCCCTATTACAGACCATGTAGATTCATCCAGCACACCTCCTTCAGGAACCCAAGGGCAAATTTCACGAATAATCTGCAAAAATTCCTCTACTTGTTTTAGTTTAATATCATGACCCTGAGACTTTATGATAGAGTGTAACAATTGTACAAACAACTTATGTTCCTTTGACTCTATATGCCCCACGTTTTACTCCAGATGATATTTGTTGAATCTTCTGCAAATGATTTTTCAAGGATTATATGTACAAAAGAGGGTAGAAAAGTGGGAAAATGATTATATGGGTTGAATACAAAATCAAGGATAGAAAGTCAAAATGGACAGAAAATAAAACTCTTTAACTTCACTTACCACCGTGGCCTCTCACTCTTTATGCGTCACCGGTGTCCCCAGTGTCCAAGCCCCTTCGTTGGTCGCCACCTGAGAAGGGCAGCACATCTGCCAGGGGCTCTTGGCCAGCAAAAGGGTTCCAACCTGGATAGGGGGGTGCGTGGAAGATAAAAGATGACAGACAGATGGGGTCTGGAGGGTTGAGAAGCTATGCTTCACCAACAACTTTATTGTGCTCAGGGTCTGGTTATATACGTTACAAGTAGAGTTGCTTACATAAAACACAAAAGTTATTTCCATGAGATAAAGGGGAACACAACGTCTTACCATAAAATCACAAGTCTCCTTACATCAGATAAGTATAATGGAATACTTAAGTCACAAGGTAAGTAAGTTATGCCCAGTTGTAAGTACTTAACAATTGTAAATATTTAAGTTAAGTCACAAGGTAAGTAAGTTATGCCCAGTGGTAAGTACTTAACAATTGTAAATACTTAAGTCACAAGGTAAGTAAGTTACACCCAGTTGTAAACACTTAACAATTGTAAATACTTAAGTCACAAGGTAAGTTACACCCAGTTGTAAATACTTAACAATTGTAAATACTTAAGTCACAAGGTAAGTAAGTTATGCCCAGTTGTAAATACTTAACAATCGTAAATACTTAAGTTATTATTTTACAACTATTGTAGCAAGGATCCAAAAATGAACACAATGAAGCAATAAACCATAAGGAACCGAAAGTGGACACAATGCCTCCCATGTCCTCATATCCATAAAGTAATGTCTGTTAATTATTTTGAATAGCATAGTCCCTCTCTCGGTTCCTGCTTTCCCTTAGCTCGACTTCCCCCAACGAGGGATCTGTGTCCAGGCTCAAGCTCACCATATGGCGAGGCCCATTTCCTAGGGGCCTCACATGGGAGTGTTCCCCACAATGTTGTAATCAAGGAAAAGGTTTAGAGAATTAACAGATTTGTCACATTTGACATAGTTAATTCATTGAGCCAACTCCACCATCCAATAATAATATCCATGATTCTTTTTTGAGAAAAATAAACTTTTTTTCTAAAAAAAAAAAAAAAAGAAATAAAATAAGCTAAGATACTTTAAAGAAGGGGGAAAGCATCATTCTAGGAAGAAGGGGGAAAGCATCATTCTAGGAAGAAAGGTTTATTCTGGGAAAGATAAATAAAAAATACCATATATGAATTAATGAAGCTTCTTAGAAAAAAAAAAGCTGTGCTACATGAATTAAATTATTAGTATTTACTGTCTCTTCCAAACAAATGCACCTACATACAAAGTTACTCAGTAAATTGAAAGGATACTATATTTCAGAAGAAAATAAGTAGCATTTAGAAACCAGGGTATTTGTACATAAAGCAAAGAATGGGTTATACAGTTCACAAAACAAGAAGGGAAAAATCTATACAATTATGTTAACTATTTTTTCCCAGTGGAACATAATGAATGTAAACATCTCCTTGGTTTCTTTCACACCATTGCCTGTGAGGTTTTTAAAAATACACTTAAAGTGAACATTAGGACCTTTTTAATATGGCAGTGACTTCATTTCATTAACACTGATTCCAAGTTACACAATGCCTAACTCAAGTTTCAGGTAGTATTTGCAAATGAAAGACAACCTAAATGGAGTTACATTATCTTTCTTCTTTTGAAAACAACTTTGTTAAACTGTTAAACTGACTAAGGCACTGGTTTCTATTATTTTTCAATAATAGAAAATATAATTGGCAAAAATATTAAAGTATTTTTCTAGCAGAGTCATACAGTGAGTAAAAAGCATTATTCAAAATGTCTGAAACATAGGACATTGCCACTGGCTCCATCTTCTGTCTCAGAGTCACCTCAGTCTTGAAATACTGTGTTGGTGTCCTGTATTTCAGGATGCTAGGACATAGTCTTAAAATGCTGAGTCAGTGTCCTGTATTCCTCAGAAGTCAAAGGACATGTCAGAATAATTCAAGATACTTTTGAGATAATCAGAGGCTCTTGACCAATGAGATGGAGGGGGTTTCAAAAGTAAGGAGGCTACTAGAAAAAAGATAAGCCAAATGCCAGGAATTCCCATAGAATATGAGTAATCAAGTTAATGTACTTACAGGCAAAGCTGTGACAAAAGCATGAATAAAACCACATGGCAAATGTTTTAAGCAGCAGAATGAGAAAAATGGACACAGTGATTCCAAATAGGGCTAGCAAGCCAATAAAACAGTGTTAAACACTTTAAGAGTATCAGTCTAACTTTGATATTTTATTACCAATATACGATGCGTGCATTATCTGTGCATCAGATGATAATAAGTGCTGGGGTTCACCTGCACACTAAAAGGCCTCATAACAATTTGCATAGATTTTGGTGTGCTGTATGGGGATCTCAAAGTTTTCAATGCCAGAACATTTTTTTCTTTCAAACTATACTCTTTAACAGCCACTAAACAGAAATGATTTAATCAGAATCCCAAATGCTAACAAATCAGTGTGTTATTTGCAAGCATCATTTAGTAGGCAGATTTCACCAAAGTGAAATCCTCATTAGTTTTGTGTTATAAATTACAGGCAAGAACCAGAAAAGGCCAGAGGACAGATATTCAAATCTTTGCCAAAAAGCCTCTTCAAGTTTAGCAATTCTATGGCTGCTCTATACTGCTGGGACTCACTGTAAAGAAGGAAAACAATCCCTGTCCAGAATGCCAGATTAACATATTAAAACTACAAAGAATGGGAAAGTAAGGTCACCTTGGGAATGCAGTTCCTGAACATTGGGCTTTTACTATCTTGTAGTAATATGTGCATATGTACGCTCTGTGTGCCTGGCATTTTATTCATAAAAAAAATCCATGCATAACAGAGATTAGAACCACAATGGACTCTAATCTATGCGATAAACGAATAAACAGATGCAAACCAATCTGGACCAGAAGATTCAGTGAATCAGGCTCAGAAAATGAAAGCAAGTGTGTCTTATACTTTCTAACACACAATATGTCCAAATATTTATAGTCAAAGCTTGATAGAGAGAGAGCTCTAGCAATTATTGCTTCCAGCCATTTAGGTCTCCAGTTTTAAAAGAACATTTTACGATTACTAATTTTCATATAGTAGGAGGCAGTGCAGGAGATAATCTTAATGTTTTCATCATAAAATGTGTAATATTAAACTATAACAAATGCATTTAATCTCATTTCTAACTTCACAAAATCAGAGCAGCCTTCCTATTATTGTGGGTTAAATGAGGCTTTATCACAAAAGTAAGTTATTCACAGTCCATAGCTTCTTGAGTGATACATATAACTAAAAAGACCTGAGAATCACAGATCTAAATCTCATGTCCGGGTAATTAAGAATAAAATCTAAAAACTGGAATTGCTAAATGTAGATTTACTTCCAAAAGCCTTAGTGATTAACTTCTAGCTTTTTGAATATGTTTAGAAAGCCTGCTAGATTGAATATGCTAGAAATTTGAATATGTTAGAAAGCCTGCATTTCTTTTTGTCATCATCAAAACAGTTTGACTATTCTCTTTCCTGTGTGTTGCTACACTGTGAAAAAGCATGGGCTGTCCCTTTCTCTAAGACCATGCTTTTCAAGAAGTTATCCAATGACCCTTTATGCCATCTTCACTGAAGTCCACACTCCCCAGTTCTAAATAAAAATATTTAACAAAAGAGCTCAGGAATCTGCATTTTAACAACGTTTGATAACTGGTGCTAGGGAATATGACCACTTTACTATTTTTAGCTGTGACACTTAATTCAGATACTTCCATTAGGAGAATATCAAAAACTTTAGATAATATTTAATTTTAAAACTTCTCCTTAATGAAGGTCCACTGACTTAATTCAGAGGGCTTACTTAATTCAGCTTTTTATTGCCATATATATTACCTTAAAAAGGATAGGGCTTAATTATCTACAGAGTTCAACATATGAGGCCAGGCACGGTGGCTTATGCCTGTAATCGTAGCACTTTGGGAGGCCAAGGTGGGCAGATCACTTGAGGTCAGAAGTTCAAAACCAGCCTGGCCAATATGATGAAACTCTGTCTCTACAAAAATATAACAACAAGAACAAATTAGCTGGGCATGGTGGCAGGCACCTGTAATCCCAGCTTCTTGGGATGCTGAGGCATGAGAATTGCTTGAACCCAGGTGAAGGTTGCAGTGAGCCGAGATCACACCACTGCACTCCATCCTGGGCAACAAGAGCAAGACTCCATCTAAAAAGTAAAAATAAAAAAAAGAATTCAGTATATAATAAAGTTGGTATCACAAATCACTAAAGCAAAGATTGGCTTTTTATAAGTCATGCTGGACAACTGATTAGCCATTTGGAAAAAGATAAAATTAGATCAATTTCCATACCATATATAAGAATAAATTCCAAATGAATCAAAGATATGTATGAAAAATAAAACTATACAAGTACTAGGGGAAAGAAGATTGGTGAATTCCTCTATAAGAAAAGCCTTTCTAATTGTGACTAAAAATTCAGATGGACTTGAAGAAACGAGTGATAAATTTAACTAAATGAGAATTAAAATTTTCCAAGAAAAAAATATAAGCAAAGTCAAATAACAAAGTACAAACAAAGATAAAATATTTGCAACATAAGCAATCCTGAATATCTCATAAAGGATGACTATTCCCAATATAAAAACAATTGAATATCTCATAAAGGGTGAATATGCCTAATATAAAACAAACTTTTACAAATTAAAGGATAAAAATGTCCTATAGACATATGGGCAAAAAATATAAGTAGACAATTCACAAAAAGAGATTTTAAACAGTCCTTAAGCATTTGAAAAGATGTTCAACTTCACTAATAAAAGTAGACACAAACTAAAACTACAATGAGATACCACTTCTCACCCATCACGTTGGGAAAAATTCAAAAGCTTCACAATACAGTTCGTTGCTGAGGCTGTGAGGAAACAGGCACTTTCACACATTGCTGTTGGGGATGCAAAATAATACAAACTCCATAGAAGAGGATTGGGCAATAGCAACCAAAATTACATATGCATTTGTCCTTAAGCCCAATATTTCCACTTCTAGCAATTTATTCTGAACATAGTCTTACAACTACAAAATTACATATGCAGAATTTTATTCATTA